GTACAAAAAAAAGATTAAATTACATATTAAATTATTGAAAGAAAGATTAAATTACAATATGCTTTTGATTGTCCTTGGACTTATATTAAGCTCTATTGTTTTTATTAGATTAAAGGTGCTACTTTGAATTTAGAGTAATAAGTAATTGTGTTATATGAGATCTTAATTATATTTACATGTTATGCTACATAGTGTTAAGTTTATGCAATGCTCAGTTACAAAAGTAAGTTTTCCTACCCTGTTCATTATTTTTTTTTTTTTGTTGAAGACCTAGGACAGTATGTAACTGGTAATTGTTATGCATGATTGTTTCTACCCCACTATCTCTTGTAATAGGCTTAAAATAGACTGAGTTTTTTGTAATGAAAATAATTCTCTTTATTGTTTTAAAATAAAAAAAATTACAGAATGCTAATTATATCAATCAAATCTATTCTTAAATATAACTTAATTAAACGGGATGATATACATCATTATTTGAAAAAAAAAAAAAAAAAAAAAACTTCTATGTGTTTGACTTCTACTTGTCTTCTACAATGATGTCTAACCAAACAAAATAGAAAAGATAATATATTAAGCAATTCAAGCATCAAATTAATCAGTTAAAAAAATATCAAGAGTCCAAAATATGTAGAAATTAAGCAATCAGTCCAATGTATAAGCACTTTCCTCCAAAACAAAACAGTTAAAAAAATGTTTCTTTCAAATTGAAAAAAAAATGTTTCTTTCAAATTGAAAAAAATGTTTCTTTCAAATTGTTCATTCATCCTCAAGAACTTCATCTTCACAAATAATCTTTTTAACCTTGACAGTAGCTTGTTTCTTCTTTTTTTGACTGTGTACTGGAAAATTATCCCGTAAGCATCTCTCAACTACATCGCTTAGAGTTCTTGTGGTAGTCCTTTCTTGGCTAGCATTCACAATGGGGCTCTCTGCCTCATTGCCTCAAAAATCCCTAAATAGATAACATAAAGAGTCAGAAAATGCAATACTAAAGATTGGTACATACCACATTTTTATAGAAAGTGAAGACTTAACTCACCTCATCATCCTCCCAATCATCATCCATAAGTTCCAGCCCTTGAAGTCAAATCTTTGTCCTTACAGACATCATATGAACTACATACTTTTTACTTCACCAGCTATAGACAAAAGAACTCAAAATTTATAAGAAATGTGAAATTTGTGCTGTGCAGTAACCTAAAGGTGAAAGGATATTAAAAGATATTGAAAACTGAGAAGGGGAATATGCTTTTCCAGGCATAAGTGAAGTACATAATTCTACATTTATATTTACTTGATACTAAATGATATGATACCAACAGGATTATGCTTGAGCCAAATTCAGCTTGACATTTTCACAAACAGTTTGCAGGTATGAATTTTTATTGCTAGGTTTTTCAGATTCAGTCAATGCCACACCCAAATTCCTATTCTCATTTATACAATCCCATTTATACAATGAGTTGGTGCGCAATCTAAGTTCACACATTTATTCACTATTCCATCAGAATTAAAAGGGAAAGGCTTACCCGCTATTATATCCTCAAATGAGACCCCCTTCTTCACCTGACTGAATCAGAAATTTAAAACAACAACAGCATATCACAAAAATCAGGAAAAAAATAACATTACCTGCCAGAAGTGAGACGCCCAGACCAGAGCCACCGGCGACCGCCAACGTCTCCACCTGCTCCCTAGTTCTAGCATATCAGCTCGTCTCTGTTTTCTTTCTCTCATTTCTCTCCCCAGCTCGTATTTGTTTTCTTTCTCTCCTTTCTCTCCCCGGCTCGTCTCTGTTTTCTTTCTCTACGCGTAGTTCTTCTCGCGCTAGCTGCCGTGAGTTCGGCGACCGCACCCTTCATTCATAGAATCATAAACAAGAAAGGTCAAAATAGGTTTGATGGTTACGAGAATTGCGTACATTAATAATTGGATCCCAGAGAAGGAAAACCGATATAGTGGAGTCCGATTCTCTTATTATAGAGAATCGGACTTAGGCCCTCCGTTGTTTTTTTTTTTTTTTTAGTTCTTTTAATACATTCGGACCATTGAGGTCCGAATGTAATGATATAATTTATTTTTTTTATTTGTTTTTAATAAATGCGGAAGAATGTATTGATATTATATTATTTTTTGTTTTCATCCGTCTTATTGTTTGCGGAAATAAATGGACTCTTAAAAAAGAAGAAGGTTCATGCTCAGTATGTATAATCTCCATACTTCATATCATAATTTGAATTTAGATGAAAAAATTGGATAATTAAAAATATAAACAAAACATTATTTTATTGATGATTCAAAGTAGGACAGTTTGGGGAAGAATGAGTTGTCCTCCGACAATACCTATATCTTCTACTTCGATTTGAACCAAAGTCCATTTCATTTGGATACCTACGTGTGCGGCGTTGGCCTCGTTGATTTGGTTGCCTAGCAGAAATCGGTGGAAGGCAAGTAACTGGACCGGTACACTGAATTCTTTCGTCTACGGGATAAAAATTACCGACATAACAGTTCTTGTAGTTTTCAACCGAGTAAACTTCTGGCACTAATGGGCCGAATCCTTGCCCTCGGTAATTGCATGCTGCAATCACATGTGCACAAGGTAAGCCGTTGACGTTCCACAAGCCGCAGTTACACGTACGTTCCGTCAGGTTCACTTGAAAGTGATATTGTTGACTTTGGGAAACATAACCAGTATTTAGGGCAACACCATAGATTCCGAGGGCGTCATTGAAACGTTGAACGCTTGCACCGCTTGCCTCATTGTTTCGAGCTGACAAATCATCGGTAATGTTTGTCGTGAATCGCAGGCCGTGTTGCTGCATCCCCTCTCCCGCAGTACGCCTGTCGGCAAACATAGTCCGTAACTTGTGAAAAGTCATTCGGACTATTGCCGTGACGGGTAACATCCGACAACACTTTAGTGAATTATTTAGTGACTCGGACGGATTGGTTGTCATGATGCCGTACCGGTGATCATCGTCGTGAGATAATGTCCACTTCTCGATATTAGACTAAGTTATTATTATGTTATTAATTATTATGTTATTACTTAGTCATGTAACAATCTGTTAGTTATCTAGTCTCTAGCCTAGAGGATAGCTCTCTCTCTCTCTCTGAGAGTATTAATGTATCTGTAATTCTGTTATTCAATTGATAATCTTTTCCCTAACTCATCCTCGACATCAATGTCGGCAAGATAGGCGTATGCAGCCGGCCATTTAATTTGGATTGCATGCATGTGTTGAAGGAATTGATCCGTTGTCACAGCAGTACCAGCTTCCCACACTAGTTTTCGTAACCGCCTATTTCTGGTCACCCTTGACATGACATTGATGCGAATGTGTCGTAGGCAAAACCGGCGTTTTACACGGTCCGCCTTCAATTGTTGGACGGAATTAAACGCCGCATCGATTAATTATAAAATTAAAAATTAAAACTCGGACCCAGACGGTCCGAGTTATTCTTTTCTAAAAGCAAAATTTTTTAATAAATTGGAACATGATGTTCCGATTTATTAAATTTTTTTTGGTTAAACTCGGACCACAATGGTCCGAGTATTACCTTTTTACATAATGCGGCGCCAGTCTATTTTATCATACCCGAGACGAATACAGACAGTCCTTTTATGATTTCCCAGACGAATCGATTTCGTGTTTGCGTTACTATTGTGAGATGACTACTCCATCAGTATGAATGACTATTCGTAATATTTTTTCAGCGAATATATTCGCTGACATTGCTTCTTTAAGTTGGTAAAATTTTTTGTAGAGACAGTCCATTTGTCATACCCGAGACGAATAGAGACAGTCCATTTTATCATTTCTTAGACGAATCGATTCCGTGATTGCGTTACTATTGTGAATCAGTATGAGATGATTACTCCTCAGTATGAATGACTATTCGTAACATTATTTCTGTAATTTTTTAGCGAATATGAGCTGATATTGCTTCTTTAAGTTGGAAATTTTTTTTTTAGAGACAGTTCATATTCGCTGACATTACTTGTTGAACCCGAAAATATTTAATTTATTTACGTTGGGTAAATTACGAAAATAAAGGACAAAAAAATCAAATTAAAAAATTATAACTCGGACCTAGACGGTCCGAGTATTTCTTTTCTAAAAGCCAAAATTTTTAATGAATTGGAACATGATGTTCGGAAATGCAATGTAAAAATGAGACATCCTATCTACCATCAATTCTCGCCTCACCTAAATTTTCGGAAATGCAATGTAAAAATCGGAGTCCAACCACCCGAATTAATTCTCTGTTTTTTTACAGAAGAGGACTGAAAAGAGCATTGGGGAGACAAATTCCTCGGGAAGGTACACGCGATAGAAAACAACACTCCTTGGGAAGGTAATACGTTCATAAGTGCGGAAACCAAATTTAAATAACAAAATCGGACTTGAAACACGCGATTCACTTTTGGCAGAGATTCGGACTCCAAGCAGACGCATTTCCCTGTATCGTAGCCACCACCTCATGCAATTGGTTTTCGTATCCACACACAAAATTCTGCACTGCCGGCAAAAGGACCCTCATTCATACGCGCTCTGCAAAATCTGAAGACCCAAATGCCGGTATATATATATTATTTAATGAAAGAAGGTAAACAAATAATATTAATAATATTAATATTTTTAAAAATTAAAACCATACCTTGAAAACTGAAAAGAGTTAATTCCAACATTAGTCCTTCGACTATCGTGATTTTTCACAATTGGTCCTCAACTTTTAATTTAGACAATTTAGACAATTGACTATTGAAATATTTCCAATGTTAGTCTTTCGTCAGAAGCTAGTTAAGCAAACGTTAAATGGAGGGTAAAGCAGTCATTTAACATGCTCTGAGTATAATAAACGTAATTCTCCTCTCTATACGCCTCTCTGTACGTATTAAAACTCAAATCCAAGCTTTGCTACAATGGCGTTCATGAATTGGAAAGTTTTTTTTTTTTTTTTTTTTTTTTTTTTAAGAACGAACTGGAAAGTTAATTATCCAATTTCTTTGCCTCCTCGGATAAAACCCCACCCATTTGCTCCATCACCTCTTTCACGAGGTGCACGCCGGCACTGAGGTCTTGAAGCAGCGCGCGCCACTGGTTTGGGTCGGCGGCGTGGACATCGATTATGTGCACCATTTTCTCGCCCTCCATGGCCTCGATGATGGCCTGGTTGGCCACCAGGAAAGCCACTTTCGAGAACGGGAACAATTCGACGAACTTTATCTGGGAAAGGCAGATTATATCAGCTTACATTAATCTTAGCAGTGGTCTTGGGGGTCAAGGAATGACTTGATAGTATTCCACAGAAGCCTAAATCCAGATCCAGCATTGATGATAAACATACGGCAAAACGTCTATACACCAAAACAGAACATTATAGTAAACATAGGAGATCCAGAAACCTTATAGACTCAACAAACATTTAAGAAAGCCAAGTATGTATATGTATACCTCAGGGTAATTGTCACCATCAATCTTCTGAATGGCCTGGATTAGTTCCGTTGCTGACTTGGTGAGGTTCTTCAATCCCTGAATGAAGCATTATAGGCAGGCTTGAAACTAGAACACCTTCCGTGCGAAGAAATCACCGGCCGCCGACGCCAGCTTGGTGGAATGGAGGGCCCGGTAAACGCCGGGCAGAGTTCGGAGCACCCTGTCCGCGAGGGCCTGGGCGAAGTAGCAGGTGATGCGCTGCATGGTGTCGCCGTCGGGCACGGCCAGGTGGGAAATCTGGTCGAGGGCTACGTTGGAGTTCGGGAACATCGCGACCCTTAGCATCCCTCGTAATTCCCAATCCAAGTCGGTGTCCTTGAAGCTCGTCGCAATCGCCGTCATTGTCCTCTCCGTCGCCGGCTTCCTGCATTTCTGGAATAAGAGGAGGGGTTCCTCTCCGAGTGAATCCAAAACGCAAAGATCCGATTTCAGCCGAGGAGAACGACCAGGTATTAAACTCATAGGAAGTAAAAAGACTGTTTTACCCCTCCATTTAACATTTACTTAACCAGCTTCTAACGGAAGGACTAACATTGGAAACATTTTAATACTCAAGTGTCTAAATTGTCCAAATTAAAAGTCGAGGATCAAATGTGGAAAATCACAATAGTCAGAGGACCAAGGCTGGAATTAACTCAAACTGAAAAGACTCTTTGAAAGTTGAAAAATAATATCTGGTCATTAATTTTTCTTTGGAGATATAAAAACTTATACATAAATATATTCTTTTCTAGAATATTCTTTCCTTAGGCGGGAAACTGAAAATTATTTTTATTTACCAAAAGTTGTGGCTTTATTATATATATAGATAGATAGATTATTATTATTATTATTATTATTATTATTATTATTATTATTATATTATAACAAATACAGTCCGTGTATCGCACTGATGTAAATACTAGTTATATTGATATAATTACGATTGTTACTGAGGACCTAATTTTAATACTAAATCATGTGATAGGGCTAGTAATATCGGGCATCCTCTGGTTGTATCCCAACTAGGGGTGTCAATACGGGCCGGCCCGCCTCATTAGGCCCGCCCCACCGCGGGCTTTTTATTTGGCAGGCTTTGGCGGGCCGACCCGCGAAGCCTGCGGGCTTAGAACTATACAACCCAAGCCCGTCCCATGCGGGTTTGCGAGTCTCGCGGGCTGGCCCGCAGGCCATCACTTAAATTTTAAAAAAAAAAAAACATTAAATAGTATATAAACATGTTAAAACCGCTTGAAATATGGCACCGGAAACTTCCATAAAATTCATAAACCTCGCCCAAATCTACTGGATCGATACTGCGCGTTCAGCAGAACTGTAGAAGGGTGATCAAAGCTAGGGTTCAATAGCACACTCGATTTCTCTCACGGCTTCAGATTTTCTCTCTACAATTCCCGTCTGTGTATAATACATATATAAATATGTATGTTTGCTTAACTTAGAGGCGATTTAGTAATTCATAAATATGTATGAATTGATGATTTAGTTTTAGTAATTATTTGATAGAGTTGGAGGCGAATGGAGACGGGAGAACCGAAAAACTACGTACTCTAGGAATTATTGAATTAAGAATTGGCGAAGGATTATTGAATTATTGGATTTCTCCTCTTCTGCGTACTCTTGATAGTTAGATCTACACATTGCCTAAGAATTAAGATATTATATATATGATTTTTTTTAAAAAAAAAAAAAAAGATATTATATATATAATTTATTTATTTATTTTTAACTATGGCCAGGCCCGCAGGCCGGCCCGCATCCCGTGCGAATTTGCCAGCGTGAGCTCTGGCCCTCCGCGGACCATGCCCGTTAGGCCCGCATTTTCGCGAGTCTAATTTCTTGCGGCCCTAACCCGCCCCATTGTGAGGCGGGTGCGGGCTAACCCGCGGGCTTTGTCCCACTTTGACACCCCTAAACCCAACAAAAAAATGTTCATTTTTTATCCCAAATTAAAAAAAAAAAAAAAAAAAAAAAAAAAAACGGGGAAAGTACCCAATTTATGCATGCATGATTTCTTTACTTGTGAAAATGAAAACAAAAAATTGTTTTAACAATATCATGAAAATGTACATCAATATTATTACATATTCCTCCTTAACTCCTTTACTGTTAATTTGTATTATAAACAATTGAATTTCAACTTTCGATCAACTCAATCTCTCATAGTTTGCTATGAACTGTTTCACCTTCACTTCTTGTTTGGAAATCCAATCAGATCCAAGTACGAGGCTTAGGTTGGAGCTTCGGACCTTGGAAACGACGTAGTTTAAGTTGTTGGCTAGGAAGACGTAAGACAACGGCACGTCTCGGTAATGTCGCGCCTTGCTGTCTAGCTTGCAGAGGAGAACGAGAACGAGCCACGCGAACTTCGCGGAGACGGTTGAAGCGCCGGAATCGTCGTTCATGGACGACGGACTCGAGAAGTACGACTCCGGTAAGGGAGATTGGGACGACGGCAGCCAGTCTGCTATGATTTCGGAAACGGTGCCGCTGTAATCGGCGAGGAAAACGAGGAAGTTCATCACGTACCGAGTCAGTGGATGGATTGCGCCGCTTGGAGGTGATTTTGTGGAATCCTTCTGTATCGCCGCCTCAAACTCCGACAACATTGCTCTAACGGCGTCCCCTAACTTCGACACTGACGTTGCAGCCTGAGACTTCACGGCCGCAGTAGAATCGAAGCTGAAAATCGATTCAATTTCCGGCGAGAGGTCCGAAACCGCCTCGTAAAGGTCCAAATAGCGAAACATCTTCTCGATCGAGGTCTTCTTATATTTAGCCGCCGATTCAAGGAAACCGAACAAATTGATAGCACCGTCTTTAGAGATTTCGGCGAAACACGATTCTCTGATGTGATCGGAAGCCGAGAAGACTTCATCGCAGAGAATTCTCTCACCGAGGAAAAGAGTTCTCACCGCGATTCTGATACCGCTCTGCCAATTCAAAATCTTCCTCTCCAGTATTTCCCAGTCCATTTTTTGAATTTGAGAAGAACTGAATTTCTCAATTCCAAGATGATACAACGTCTCGTCTATAACTGATTTTCTGATTATGTTATACACCTTCGCGCATTCCTTTCCATATCCGGCTCCAATCATACAAGTCGCAATGGCTTTCAAATCCGCAACCGAAGGATCGGAGATTGAAATTCCGGCGACTTTGTCCAGAACCTCTCCACCTTCCTGCGGATATGGAGAATCGCCTTCGGAATCTGAAACAGTTGACTGCGAGGACGCTCTGGAAGACCTCGCCGAGACAGTTTCTTGATCGAGAAAATATCGGTTCCCAGACAGAATAGTGTAGAACTCCTTCTGCAACCGCTTCATGGCAATCTGCATCAAAGTCTGCGCGCGAACAAGCAGCAGCTCAGAATCCGAAGAATGCGCAACGGCGAACACCATTACGCGCTGCAAGTCATCGACGCAGCCGAGGAACTGCTTCGCCTCCACCGGACTGTCCCGGAAGAGGTACGATATTCTGGCGATGGTGACGGAGGCCTGAACGTCCCATTTCCTGATCACCGGTTCGACGGTCGTGATCGTTTCTGCGAATAGCCTTTCGCAAAATGTATAACGAGGCGGCGACGCCGATGATGATGATGATGATCGGTTTCTCATTTTCTCTGTCGCAAAATGTGTCACAATCGTTTTGATAGTCGGAAAAATAAGCTAATGGGAAAAGAAATAAGTATTTATAGAGGGAGGTCACGGGACGGCTGAGAATGTCGATGGATATTGACGCTTTTATTAACGCGGTGAATTTTGTATTGTTTCGTTTGCTTCTTTACTTTGTCTTTGAAGCTTTCAGAGCTCAAAGACCGAAGTATATATATGTCCGTTATTATTTTAATATTTTTTTTATTATATAGTATGATTAAGTTGGAAGCCAAAATGAGATGAGTTGATTAAGTCCATGAGGTGTGTTGAGAGTGATTTTTATTTATTAAAAAATTGCATTTCTGGTTCAAGTTATAAGGTGAGTGTAAATTTAGTTTATACATCGTAATTATTGATCGTTATTTGTGAATTAATTTCACTTTTGGTCTTATGGAGGTTCTATCACTTTTAGTGTACAATTTTAAAGTTTTTCAATTTTGGTGTCTAAATTTATTATTTTATCAGTTTTGGTTCCTTTGGTCAAATTGACAGTGAAATGTTACCGGATTTTATATTTTTAGGGATAAAATCGTCATCCCAATGAAAGATCTACAATATCTAAATAAAATCATTGTAAAATCAAATTTATGGGTGTTTGATCGATGAGAATAATTGGGAAGATGGGCAGAAACTAGACACGAATCTCACGATTGGCAAACCCTTCTTCTCTTTAATATGATTTTTCTTTTGTTTAGATATTGAATATATTTCCTTGAGATGATGATTTTCCCCTAAAAATATAAAATTCGGCAATATTTCGCTGTCAAAATGGCTGGAATGACCAAAACTGATAACTATAACAAAATTAGACACCAAAATTGAAAACATTTAAAGTTGTGCATCAGAAGCGATAAGACCTCAAAAGTTGTGGGACCAAAAGTGAAATTAATTCGTTATTTGTTTACAAAAGTGATTATTTTTGTCATCACTCACTTGTAAAAGTTACACATTTGATTTATAATTAGTGTTTTTGAAAAACAGTTATAAATGAACTTTTGTTTTATTTAACCAATTTTAATTGTTTGACTTGGTTTTTTTTTTTTTTTTTAAAAACAATACAGAACTTTCATTACTCAATCAAACTGTCCGCAGATACATACTGAGAAATAAAACGTGGTAAAAAATCAAGATACTCCACCAATCCCACTCAGGATTACATAAAACTTTCCTAGCTAATGTGTGGGCCGGAACATTGTAAGTTCGCTTTACAAACGCAAGTGACACTGAATCAAGCTGTTCTAAAAGGAACCGGATATCATCAATAATATTTCCAAACGGAGTAAAAATTTTCCACATCCCCGCCCAACACACTGTATCAATATTGGACTGAACGTCCGTACCTAACCTATAAGCACTCCTCACATAATAGATCTCATTTTCCTCCATGCTCCAAAATATAGAGTCCCCCTCCTCTCCCCCTCCCCCCCCCCCCCCCCCCCGCCCCCCCCCCCCCGCGGTGCAGTCGGAAGACTAAGAATTTATTGACAATCTCTATAATTAAAGACATCCCTCACTAACTCAGAATCCCATTGATTAAACCCAATACAGAAAAAAGAGCTAACCGATTGTCTAAATATTCAGGCTCAGGAATCGTAACAAAGGGATTATTAGAATCTGGTAACTATGGCTCACCCCACACTCGAACCTTACCCCCATCCCCAATCCTCCATCTCACTCCCCTTCCTCCCCAACCCTTGAGCTTCTCTAATACTGGTCCACACATATGATGGATTAGTCCTTGCCCCCGCCTCCAAGAAAGAACACTTAGGGAAATAACGAGCTTTAAAAACCTTTGAAACCAATGCATCG